TAGATAGATAGATAGATAGATAGATAGATAGATAGATAGATAGAAGAGAGAGAGAACCCAGGAAAAGAATAAATGCCCTATAGCATGAAGAAATACCTGGTCCTGGACCTTCTCCACCTTCTCCTCCTCCTCCTCCGCCAGCTGGTGTGACACGTCTAGCTCATTCTCCTCTTCCACCTTTTCCATCCTCTCTTCTTCATTGTAGTCGCTTGCGACGCCCACAATTTCCACTGACCAGAAGGAGACACAGCTGCCTTTCTGGTTGGTGGGTTGCTTCATGAGGGAGTAGCGGCGATCCGTGGGCCACTGAGAGATGGACTCCAGAGATGGCGACTCATCCGTCCTGCTTCGGTACTTGCTGCGGGAGATTGGCTCAAGTCAGGGCTCTCCAACCATGGGCAACTTGACTACTTGTGGACTTCAACGCCCAGAATCCCCCCCACAGAAAGCCGCTTGCCTTCAACCTTTAGCGCTCCTGGGGCAGAAGGAGTGTCGTCCTTCTCCTCTCAACCTGTTCTCACCCAGCTCCCCAAACACGACAAACCCTCTGAGGTGAACTCAAAGATTTCTTTATTAGGAGCACCGGCAAAAACTTTCTGTCTCACCGCAGGCTGACAAGTCCGTCCGTTCGTCGAGAGATGAATAGTTGTCTGCCACACCTATTTGCCCTCTGCCTTTTATCCCCAGAGCTCGGGTGGGCCTTCGCTAGTAGTGGTGGCTCTTCCGTCCCAGGGGCCAGCTCATAGATTTCCACTGTTCTCCTCTCCTCTGCCTTTTGAGCTTTTGCGTGTCAGGCACTGGGGCCAGTTGTTCCTCCTCTTCCTCATCAGCCACCTCCAAACCTGGGGGCTGTTGACTCTCCATCGGAGGCTGATGGACGGCCCAGGCTCCGCCTCTCTCTCTCTCTCTCTCTCTCTCTCAGCAGCTCCATTCTCTCTTCCCTCTCGGAGCTCTCAGGTTGCCCTGATGCTGACCTGACTCCCACTCCGCCTCCTTCACCTCCTCTGATTTGGCTGGGGCTGACAGGCCACAACACAACCCATGTCCCGTCATGTGAATGACATACAGATAGTCTTCGCCTTACAACCCCTCAACGGAGCCCCGAATTTCCATGGCTAAGCGAGACCGTGGTTAAGCAAGCTATGTCTCACTTTACGGCCTTTCTCGCCACGGTGGTTAAGGGAACCACCACCATGTTTAAGTTATTCTCACGCTTGTGAAGCAAATCCAGCTTCTCCCATTGACTTTGCTCATCCAAAGGTCACAAAAGGGGATCGGGTGACCCCGGGGACGCTAGCAACCGTCGTAAATAGAAGCCAGTGGCCGAGAGTCTGACTGTTGATCACGTGACCATGGGGATGCTGCAACGGTCATAAGTGTGAGAAACAAGTCTCCAGTCACACTTTTCAGTGCCGCTATAACTTCGGACGGTCACTAAATGGACTGTTGTTAAGTTGAGGACTACCTGTATCAATGCCGTTCCCTCGAGGGTGGTTTTGGATACCTGCAAGTCCTGACATTCATCCATGGCCATTCTTGGTTTGTGGCATGCTCTAAGCCATGGATATCAAACTCAGGGCCCAAGGGCTGGATTTGGCCTATGGGTTCCAGGACCGCCCTGGAAACAGAGAAGGGCTAGGCCGCAGGGCCAGCAAAAACGGAGCTCGTAAATTTTTTTACTACCGGTTCTGTGGGCGTGGCTTGGTGGGTGTGGTGTGGCTTGGTGTCAACTAAAAAATACTCTTTTGGTCTTTTTAGTTGCCAGCAGAAAGGGAGGGGGGAAAGCAGTGCATTCCTTAAATGCTTCAGATAATTGCTTTGGCAACCAAAGCTGTTGGCACACAAGATTATTACTGGAAAGCATGATTGATGGGTCTTGGCTATGGATGTGTCCCATTGGAGAATATACATCCAAGGGGGTGGGGGAAGACCAGGGTCAAGGGGGAAATGAATGATGTGTCTCAGAGTCAGCTGCCACCAGGAAACACCAACATGTCAACTCCTCAATAAATTGATTTTTTTCCACTCCGAGAGATGCGGCTAGAGATGCACGTCAGAGTCCTGACCCTTGGTGGGTGTTGGCATGGCTGGGTGGGCGTGGTCGGGTGGGCGTGGCAGGGGAAGGTTACTGCAAAAATCCCCCTTTCCTCCCCACCCCACTAACCCGCTTTCCAGCTCCGTTCTCCTGGGCAGGGCAACCAAAGGAGACCCAGCCGATCAGCTGGGACTCAATGGGAGGCGGAGAAGAGAGATGGGGTTGGCGGGGCCAGTTTGAGGTGGGAACGGCCGGTTCTCCAAACGACTCCAAATTTTCTGCTACTGGTTCTCCAGAACCAGTCAGAACCAGCTGAAGACCACCTCTGCGCGTGCACACGTGAGTTGCAGGAGGCCGACCCAGCCGAAAACGGAACTCGGGAGCCCGTTTTTCATTGGCAGGCGCCCCCCCTCCCCCCAACACAAGTGATGTCATGCTGGCCACGCCCACCCCGGCCCCCTCAAGATCCAACACAACCCTGATGCCGCCCTCCATGAAACCAAGTCGGACACCCCCGACCTGGCGAGATCTACCCGTAGCCCATCTTCCTCCCCCCCCCCCCCTCGGGGCACCTCGTTCTCGTCCATCCCCAGGTGGAGCAGCCACACCAGGAGCAGAGCCATCCAAACCTACTTGTATTTCAGGGCTTCCAGCTTCTCCAGCTGGTGGAGCATAATCTTGTTGCTCTCCTGCAAAATTTGAAACTCTTCTTTCAGATCCGAGTATTGGAGCTTCGTGGTGTCCAGCTCACCTGCAAAAGCACAAGAGCAGAGGCAAAAGGAAGCCAAGGTCCTGCAGAGTGACACGAGTCGGAAGGGACCTTGGAGGTCTTCCAGTCCAAGCAAACACACACACCCCAGCTGGTCCCTTCTAGCCCCCGGACTCTATAAACTCTCTCTCTCTCTCTCCTGCCAAGCCAAACTGAACCCAGATTATAAACATCCCAACATTCATCCAAGAGTTCTAGCTAGCGAAACGCATCTTTCTGAAGAGATTTAATGTTTAAGGCAGTTTTGGTGAAGGTTTCCCAGGCTGGAAACCAGGAAACTGGGAGTTCTAGTCCCACCCAAAATACGAAAAACTGGCCAGATGACACCCCGACACCTGCCTTGCCAGCCCATTTTCTTCTGCAGCCAGCAAGGCTGGCAATGTTCTGACCTAAGCCTGGTTCAAAGCAAAAAGAACACCAAACAGAGATAAAAAAGCAAATCCTTTTCAATGCTTCTCTGTGAATTCCGTTCATTCACAGTAAAATGCTATTAAAAAACTAACTGTCTCTGATAAGAACGAGCCTTGCCAAGGTGGTGCAAGGCTGCCAAGAACACTAGGTAAAGTTGCCAAGAAATATTTCAAACACAAAGAGTCTCCAAACGCCAACCAAGATACTCCGAACGTCCACAAGGCTTGAGTGCAAAAACGTCTTTGCTTCCTGCGAAGAACTCCGGTTCCTCAGCTGGCTTTTATCTCTTGAGAGATTACCTTGCAGCCTTACTCCCGAGTCGCCCGTGCTGCTGCAGCTGCTCTTTCCTTCTAGCAGCCCTACGCAAACTGTGCACAGGCTCCTCGGGGGCCTCTTCCTCACTGCTGCCAGCCTCCACAATCTCCAAAGGCAGCATTCTTCTCCCTGATGGTCCTGGTCCCATCCCTGCATCACACGCAGGTCCCTCATCCGAGTCCTCGCTCTCCAAGACCTCAGCCGTCTGCACCTGCTGCCGGGCGAACCACAACAGGCAAGGCTTTCCTAAAGACCTCCGGATCGATCCAGAGCTCCATTACCAGCTGCAAAAGGCCTTCAGGAAAGCCTTGCCGGCCGCAGAAGAAGGAGTTCCTGAAGGCCTCAGAGAGTGAAAAGGAGGCCGGGAGCGACGCACACAAGTGAGGTTAGTCAGTGGAGGACATCCCCCAAAAATAAGACCTGGTACCTTTTTTGGGTGGGCCAAAAAAATATAAGATTGGGTCTCATTTTCGGGGAAACACAGTACATATATTTTTTAAAAAATAAATGCATAACAGAGGGGTAGTTACCCCAATTTTTTTTTTTTTTTTTTAAAGAGGTACCTTGGAGCCGAGCTATTTCCTGGCTCGGGCTGGACAGCCGTTGCTCCCGGAGGGGGATTTTGCTAGCGCCACCGCTGTTTTCGGCGGCCAAGTTCTGCATCATCCGGAGTTCAGCCCGCAGGGTAGTGAGCTCCATTTCGTACTCATTGTGGATCCGTTGGACTCTCTCCAGCTCGGCTTTCATCCGGCAGAGCTCTTCTTGCAAGCTGGCGATCTCGTTCTCGTGCACGGCGGCCGCCTCCTCCGCCTCCAGCCGCAGGATCTGGATCTCCTCGTTGGCCTCCTGCAGGTCCTCGGCCACCTGGCCCAGCTCGGTGTCCTTCGTCTCTTGCAGGGAATCAAGTTCATCCTTCCGCACATGCATCTGGGCTGAAGAAGGCAAGGAAGAAGAATTGGGACAGAGGCAGGGGTGGGATTCTACCAGTTCGCACCTATTCGCCAGAACCGGTTGTTAACATTCTAAGCAGTTTGGAGAACCAGTTGTTAGAATAAATTACTGGTCTAATCCTGTAAGGAAGGCAGGAAGGAAACATTCTGGTGTTGCTTACAGAAACTGCCTCTCAGTTAACCCTCATTACATTCTTGGCAGGACTAGACTTTCTGTTTCAGGAACTTCTCTGGAGTGTTTTTCCCCTCCTTTGCTGGTACTTTGCTTGTGTGGAGTGACCAAAGTTACAATGGCACTGAAAAAAGTGACTTATGATCATTTTTCACACTTATGACTGTTGCAGCATCCCCACAGTCACGAGAGGCCAGGCGAGGAGATGCGTGCCTCGAAGTGAGTGATGTTGAGTTGGCCACGCTCAGCCAATAATATGACCTGCAAGCCATGTCCACCCACTCACATGACCACCAAGCCACGCCCAGCAACTAAGCCACGCCCACAGAACCAGTTGTTAAAATTTTGAATACCACCCCTGGACAGGGGTTGAGAGAAGGCTGTGGATTCGGGACCCAGAAGACGTTCGTTCCCCCCCCCCCCCCCCCAAAAAAAACCTGGAAACCAACCACCACATGTGATTCTGGGACAGCTGACCAAACTAACAGATTTAACAGAGTTGGAAGGGACCTTGTAGGTCATCTAGTCCAACCCCCCCCGCCCAAGCACCATTTCTGACAGAGGGCAGTCCAGTCTCTTTTTGAAAGCTTCCCACAACTTCTGAATCACAGAATAACAGAGTTGGAATAACTTTACTATCCCTTTGAATGTGTGCTAATCAGTATACATTAAAATGAAAAATTCATGGCCCTTCAGCTCTCAAAGGGTCACCGCCTCCAATGTATACTACATAAGCATAGTTAAATAAATAAATACAAAATTATGTATTATATGACGCAGAGAAACAACACACGTCTAGTTTGGATGTATACATCTACACGTCATGAAAAACTAACCGTTTCGCAGGGCAGACCAAAGTATAAATATAATGATTCGATATTGAAACTTAGAAAAAACATATATATAAAACTGAAAATGCTAAAATAATTATAAGATATGGAATAGAATATAAAGATGAATATGTAACTGAATATGTCTGTATGGAGAAGGGATCATGCTGTTCTCAAAAAAAAGATATTTTATTTGTATTATGTTTTGTGAAAACCCAAATAAAACTATATGTGTGTGTGTGTGTGTGTGTGTGTGTATGTATGGTATTCAGCTTTGTTCGGGTATTGTCCCACGTCATTATAATTGTGCTTTTAAAGTTGTAGCAACGTTTCGGCAGATGATGATGATGGCAGATGAGATTCTGCAGAAACATTGCTACAACTTTAAAAGCACAACTATAATGACGTGGGAAAATACCTGAACAAAGCTGAATACCATACATGTAAGTACCCGCGAAAACTTAAGAAAACAAATATATATATATACAGTATACAGTATACAGTATACAGTATACAGTATACATAGATAGATAGATAGATAGATAGATAGATAGATAGATAGATATAATATAGATATAGATATATTATATAGATATAGATATAAATATATAGATATAGATATATAGATATAGATATAGATATATAGATATAGATATAGATATAGATATAGATATATAGATATATAGATATATAGATATATAGATATATAGATATATAGATATAGATATATATGGCATTCAGCTTTGTTCGCAGATGAGATTCTGCCGAAACGTTGCTACAACTTTAAAAGCACAACTACAATGACGTGGGTAAATACCCGAACAAAGCTGAATGCCATACATGTAAGTACCCGCGAAAACTTGAGAAAACAGATAAAGATATAGTATATATATAAAAAACCTAACTGTTTCACTTAGCAACTGAAAATTTGGGCTCTATTCCAGCCGGGAATCGAAAGCTACCTGTATTTACCTGCTACTCTCTCAAATTCGCCCCTAAATGCAGCACCCCAAACATCCAGGAAATTCTTGCCAGGGGTTATAGGGCATAAATAGGGGGCGTGCGTAAGCGCACCAGCGTGCCTACCGTTCATGTCTTACTGTCCCTATTTATCTGTATTTACTTCCTTTGTTGATGTTTATGTTCATCCCTCTACTTGTTATCTTGTACATGTTTGACAAACAAATGAAATAAAAATAAATAAATTCACTACCCCCCCACCGAACGGGGCACCCGTGCGAGTTAAAACAGGCTCCACCCCATAACTGGAAAAAAAAAATTAAGATTTAAACCAAACTGAATGAAAGCATCTGTTTAAAATAAAAACCCTTCAAATCCAATGGACGTGATTAAAAAGGACACTGAATTCATTTGGATCCTGGTGGGTTGGAAGGAGGAAGACGATGGGGTCCCGTTCACCCCCCACGCCCCCAGTTTGCTAAACCAAGTTTTGTTTTTTTAAAAGAAACCATGGTTTGAGTAAA